ATTTATGTATTTACGTATGTATAGATATGCTTTGTCTACTGATTATATATATATATGTGTGTGTGTGTGTGTGTGTGTGTGCGTGTGTGCTTTGCTTCTGATTTGTGTAAATGGAGTGTCTATCAATTGAAATATGACCCATCAGGTGAAAGTTATGTGCACATTTATGCACGAATATAGTATATTTCCGGAGATGTCTTTCCTTGTGATTAATACAGGAGCCTGCGTATTTCCATTGTGTTTAGTGTGATCAATTTTTTGATCTCGTTGCATGCATATATGCATGTACAACTTTATCTGCAGTTCGGCCTAGCTATTAGATAAATATAGCCCCAAACTACCTCCACCACGCTCACTCAGAATCCAGATGGGAGCTCTTGGTCTACTCGGTTTGGCAGCTTTCATCCTTACACTCGACAATGATTCGGACTCTCTTGACACAGTGCCGGGCGTTCAGAGTAATGCGTACATGTGGATTCGAGATCTACACCCACTCCTAGCGGGCGTCTCGGACACCCACGTGGGTCTGATGTGTTGCTTTGCAGCATCAGCCATGTCTGGAGTTGCTGCCGCACTAACACAAAAGGCCCTACAGAGTGATCGGAGAAATAGCTATATGTATACTATTGAGCTGGCCTTCTTCACTATCGTAGCGCTCACCACCAAAACTCTGATGCAGGTGGAGGATAAATCAAGCGTCCACGGTATGTATACACATGATCTGGCCTTGTGGGTTTTTTGCTCACCCAATGGCGGGTTAGTATTACAAAATAGCTCTGCTGTGAGATTCCACAGGTAAAATTCTTAGTATTGCGAGTGTATACCTCTTTTACGAAGTACGATCTTCACATTTAAAATACATTACCTTAACATTGGTTGCTTGGCTTAATATATCATGTTTCGTATTGTTTCTTTTCTTGTGGCATCGATCGGTGCTCCAGTGGCACTTCGGCCGTTAGACTAAAACAATTAAATTTTCAGGTCATATATCCACTGCGTTTATCACTATACAGATCTTGTTCTGAAAGGCTGGACACTGTCAGCTATGATCCCCGTAGCAGTAAATGCGGCCGGTGGCATCTGCGTGGGACAGGTAAGCATATGATCCAGCAGTACACGCGCGTGAGTCATCGCATTCAGTACCGGAAATTGTTGCCGTGGTTGAGGACTGTACCAACATACTCGACGTGCAGTTGCATTACTGTGCTAGTTTAATGAGGTACAACCTATAGTGTACTTTGAAACGCATGCTACCGCTTTATAGCGTACACGTAATACACGGAGCCACGCGTTCCTAGGAATTGCATGTTGCTCCAGGAATAATGCCGATTCAAACACATACTAGATTTGATGTCCATTGAGTAGTAGTTCGATTCCTAATTATTTTTTTCCAGCTTGGTAGTTCACTACAAATATGACTAGACGGCAAATGTCCAGTTCAAGGAAAGTGCATGTATTGGATAGTATTCTCTTCGCAGTTGTGGTCAACTTTGTCATTCATTACATACATGCAAACCTAATGCGTTTTTTCTCCAAATACACTTGTATACATGCAATACACGCGGTATATTGAGCATGTTGTCATTAATACGTTACAAACGAAAGTGTAACGAAATAATCATCCCTTATCTCTACCAAGTATTCTCTATCTGTTAATCGAAGCAAAACACAAAATTGAACTTATTTCCATTGGCTTATGTCCATTTGCTACCTACAGGTGACTAAGCTAGCAGGAGGTGTGCGTAAGTCGTTCTCGATCGTCATGGGCATAATTCTAACGGCCATTTTAGACTACGTGCTACTGGGTATACCCCTGTCTATGCATGTCACAATCGCCGTACCCCTGGTAGGAACCAGTCTCGTACTTCACAGCAGGCATCCGCCTTCTAGATCTGACAGAATAGCGAAGAAGATCCAATGAAATAAGTCACAGTCTCATTTACATCCACTCGCCAATCTCGGATATCGGAACTGCTTACACTGGAGATTTTTTACCGAGGTCGACTGACAAAGTAACTCGAGCAGTATAGAATGGTATCTGATCAGCTGTTGTCCGATAATCGGCTTTGCGACTACAGTGCATCGTTGGAGTCGATGCCTCGATGGGCCGTGTCGAGTATTCCGAACATATGATATTTTTTAGTATATGGCCGCTGATAACAAGACGTAATAACAAGAAAAAGTAACGACTGGTATCGCCGATAGGTATATCGAGTAAGCATGAGTCATGGATTTGTGCGCTGATAGCATGACTTGATAACATGAAAATAAAGATAGTAATGACTATAAAAACATGATTGTCTCAGTACCATCAATTCATTTTAAAAAGTCAAACAGTCCACAGGAGTGGGACTTTGTCACAAATTGTTCTACATATACATGGTTTCGCAAGTGTAACGGGATTGATGGTTTCACGTTCCAATTATATTTCCATGTTTACAATCAACAACATCGTCTGATCGATAATTTTTGTTGCTTCGTCATCCTCCACACGGCTACCAGCACGTTGCTAATAGTGTATTGCTTCCGTGTGTATTGAAAAATTAAGAGTGAATCAATTTTAGTCAGAGAACCAGTATCGCGGGGTCCTATACTATTTATATTAGAGTTTTTATTGTTTTGTTTTTTTTATAAAAATGATATTAAAATAACCGACTTTTCTAATGTTCTTGTCGATTCTCAATTCTGAGCGTTGCCATCAAAGTGTGCCAACCAGAAATAGTCATTCATCAACAGTGGTACCTGCGTCACAGATTCAACTGAACTACTGATCTGTGCGACCAGGGCACCTTTTAGTTTTTTGGCATCTGTATTTATTTACAAACGCGTTGGGTAAGTTTTTTATATATATAAACCAAATATTTAGCTCATCTTACACAAGTATTTACAGCCGCTGTCACCCGTGTCAAGTGTATTTTTTTTTAAACTGTCACCTCGACGGCTCGAGAGTCTACACTCTGCAGTCTGCACTCTGCACGGCTGACGGCTGCATAACGCCAATTCGCCACACAAGAATTAGAAGAGTCACGAGACATGGAGTTTCTACTTTCTTTTACCCCCAAAATGCAAATATTTAACAATAATAAAATACATACATTTCATAGTAAAAAGTGTATATTTATTTGTATCCACTACCTATGTATCCTGGCAGACCTGGACTCTGAAATCCTGGACAGGGACCGTAGGTATAGGGTATGTGCCGATTCTAAAATTTCTGATGCGATGATAAAATAAATAGCGGGTGAGCAGTTGATAAGATGAATTCCAATAACAAAATGACATAAATACACCAATATAACATGGACATAATAATTTATCTTGTAAGTTAAAAAACAGAAACAATATCATAATTTTAAAAATAGCCTCCTAATGTTTTTTTAAAATAAATATATAGAATATGCTGAAATAGACATAGTATTATGTATTTTTTTTAAATAATACTGAGAACTATCTTATTTATATATTTTTTAATTTTCTTACAGTCCGTTCACTGTTCAGCCTATTTATTTTTAGTTTCTCAGTGAGGGTATGTTCTTTTTTCTTTTCTTCATTCTTTTTTCATTTTTTTTTGTTTTTAAAACAAAACAAAACAAAACAAATAAAATAAAATAATCAACAAAATGTCACAAATTTTTTAAAATCAACTCACAAACTTACTGGTCATCGGTAAATAAATAGTTACTCCAGGGAGCTCGTTGCTTGGGAAAACTTCAAAACAATCAATGACTTGACACTTGTGACACTTGACACACGCATAGTTAAAGAAAGTATTAAAAAAATAAAAGTTACATGACCCATGACGACAATGAGGGATTTGGTACCGCATCTTCATTCTTCAGTTCTTCATGGTTTGACTTTTAGTTTTCAGTTTAAACTGAAAAATATTCAATTGTTTATATGTATTGACAGCTTGTCGATATACTGATTGCCGATGCAGTATAGTAATCCACTACCAGAGTACCAGAAAAGTATGGCGCGCGAGATGAAAATTTATAAAAGAGCATCTGCCAATTTGATTTATATTGATACAGTGGGCACACTATATTGTCATTATATCACATCTAATACTGAAAAAAGTTAGGAATCTATCTTTCGCACATAAAACACAATCATGATTGAGGGGAATACAATTGATTCATCCAATGCTAGTGATGATGTTATGGTTGTTTCAGTTCATACAAAAACAATCAGCGATAGCCTTGAACCTCTCATGAAAAAACTACAAACCCCAACACACTCGATTTCGAGCAGCAACTCAGAGATTGACTTGAGTTCAAACTCTGAGAATCTGGGTATTTTGCAAGAAGCTGATATGCACGACGACTATTTAACTAATGCGCAAATATCATGCAGGCTCAATATCGACTCAAAAAGAATATTCGCAGTGCAAACTCTAGATACAAATCTACACCGTGAAAGTACGAGTAAAGTAAAAAGTCAATGTATGTGGAGAGAAGTTGCTGTGGATATAACTCACTACAATGAAGACGCACATATTGGCTGGCCTGGGGAGCCCGTAGACGCTAACACCAAAACAAGCGCACCATCAGGAAACTCAACTATCGCCAGTAAATTCAAAACCGGTAGGCAGCAGCTATCAGCATGGTGTACGAAAACGCTTCCGAAGCGGTTATCGAGATCTGAAAGTTCTTGATTGGAAAAGCCGTAGCCCACTAATCAATCACGCGACGTATTGGAATGTATGCTGAAGAAATATAATCGGGCCTGAAAGATCATGTTTTAATAGACTTTTATCGTGATATCTCATGTGCATGTGATTGTATGGACTAATGACCGAAACGAAGCCTTAATAGGATGACTTGCCTACTGTCATGCTTAATAAATACGGATAGTTTACCAGTCTACTTACATATGTCATATATGTGGTACTAGACGTTTTATGGCTCGAGCAAGCATATACTACCAAATCTTGCTTCGAACCCGTCAAGTACACCAATGACAGGTTCAGGAAAGTCAGATTACAAATGACGTCATTAAGATCAGTTTAACGACATTAATACGGAAAGAGCAAGCCATGACTGATTCAAACTTCTAAAGGATCTGCGACAGCTATCGCAACATTATAGACTGGGACTGATTAGTGAAGCCTTGCTGTGTATCCTCACAAGCCATATGTACATATAAAAGACTATGCATAACCACGAGCTGTATAAAAAAAATTGAGGAATTTTATAATGGCGACAGTGTTATATTGATAAATATTTCACAATCTCTCTTGATTGTTTCATATTTTCGACATTTGCCAACCTTGTTCATCAACTATTATTATCACTAGTGATCATAACTGTATCTGAATGAGTGTAAAAATGCTCTTCACACACTGCATCTACAACATCATGAGATTTATCAAGCGGATTCTGTGTTAGCGCTGTGATTGATCAAACGTGATATCGTTCAGTGTGGGGCTATTTTAAGAAGCGGATTTTCAAGTGATCAGCAGTTGCCTTTTTCAATAATGGATGCTCCAATATAGTATGCTAGCATTGTATGACTCATAAGCAAAACAAATTTAAACAGGAAATGTATTAGTGTCCCAACATTCAAATTGGTATATACAGTACTTCAAAACACAACCAATCCTAATTGGGTACGCTACAGTTTTACACTCGTGATAATTATCAAGAGCATCTATATCGCAGAGAAACAGGCAAACTTGTGCATCTTCTCGCTATGCGCCCAAATTACTCCACTGCATCTCACAATCGTGTTTTAGGGTTTCGTATCTCATTTAGTAGTGTGACGCGCAATTCAAATAAGAATAAAGAAATCAATACAGGCATATAAATAATTATTCATAGTTGCAACCCTTCTCCTCGTGAGTTATGCCTCTATCAGGCATGCATTAAATCAGGCATAAATATTCATATGAGTTGTTAATCTTACAAATATGATTGCTTTCTCCTGATAGGTGAGGTTCGCTCGCAGATTGCCCCTCGTGACTCAAGTCGTGAGTTTTTGTTTCTAACATATGTGCTTTATTATTTTGTATTACTGACACTATGTGGATATGTTTTAAACCCATGTTGCCGCTCGTAAAACTCATAATGCTTTTAGGATGTATGAGTAGATGAAACCTAGAAAATCTTATCGTGATGATCTGATTGATTGATTGCTCACAATTATTTTTAAATTGTTTTTATAAAAACAAAAAAACAAAGAACACTGTGTCATTGACTCAGTGTGTCAATTTGACCAAATAATAATAAAAATTATATCAAATAAAAGGACAGATATATAAGAAATAAAAAAATAAAAACATATTCTGAAGTTATTGTTTTTTATGCAAAAAAAGAGAAATAGCTTGAAACAAAACAAAACAATATTGTGATAAATATTAATTTACATCAGATTATCAGGACTATTTTCAATTTTTGCCTTCTTGCTGGAATAAAGTAAGGCTTATTTTTTTTTAACAAATATGAAACTTTGTTAATTACAGTATAATTTTCTCTTTTACTTTTTCATTTTTTTTTGAAAGTGTCTTTCATTTTAACGTGTGTTTGCATGTAGAATATGTATATATATATATATATATATATAT